CAGAAAGCGCGTAGCTGGGTAGAGAGGGACCCAAGCCTTTTGCCATCAGCCTTGTGCTGGTCTTTAATTTAATTTCATTCATTGGGTTGAAGCCTGAGCTACGCTTCCAAGGCACTTTCACTTTATTGTCTAAGGCTGGCATGACACCGCTTCTCTCACCGCTGCTCGTGTGACTCTTTCGCGGTTCAGATTGCTCTTGCTCTATCTTCGAAAGCTTATAGTCAGCCTCGTGCGACAAATCATTGCGCCCTAAATCAAATTGATCGTTTACAATGCTCGGAAAGTGTATGTTCTCGATAGTTTTCTCATAGCTGATCGGTTCATCATCGTCTGTGGAATCAGATNGTCTTCGCAGGAGTTTCCAATCACCCGTTTGTTGTGCATTGGATCCAAAAGGTCGCTGCTGTCGTCTTCGTATGGTTCCTCCCCTATTCTTCTTTTGCGTAGAATGGTGTAGGCTGGTGAAAATATCACATCATCCGTTTTACTTTTTTCGTCTTTCTCTTCCTTTGAAAGCTCCGGTAAGTTATCGTAAATAAGTTTTTCGTATGCGCGCTCTTCCACATCTTCGAGCCGCCTCAATCGCTCCTGCCAATCGAGTATGTCCTGGGACACTAAAGATCCGTGCCGACTGTTCTCGTTATGCTCATTTTCACTGTCCACATCAAAGTTCTTTTCCAATCTCTTTACAGCATCATCCAGTTGAAGCTCTTGCTGTGTCTCAGAAAGCGCGTAGCTGGGTAGAGAGGGACCCAAGCCTTTTGCCATCAGCCTTGTGCTGGTCTTTAATTTAATTTCATTCATTGGGTTGAAGCCTGAGCTACGCTTCCAAGGCACTTTCACTTTATTGTCTAAGGCTGGCATGACACCGCTTCTCTCACCGCTGCTCGTGTGACTCTTTCGCGGTTCAGATTGCTCTTGTTCTATCTTCGAAAGCTTATAGTCAGCCTCGTGCGACAAATCATTGCGCCCCAAATCAAATTGATCGTTTACAATGCTCGGAAAGTGTATGTTCTCGATAGTTTTCTCATAGCTGATCGGTTCATCATCGTCTGTGGAATCAGATTTGGACTTTTTTGCAAAGTCTTCCATTGAGGAGTCAAAGTCCAGCTTGAAGTGTGGAAAGTCCACCTTTTGCATCATTCTATGTATCTCTGGATCGACTTTCTTTTCATTCAACTCCTCCAAGTTATCCGTTTCCTTCTTGGCATTCAAGGAATTTCGGTAGGTGTTTGCCTCGAGTAGCAAGATGGTATTCAATTTGCTTTTCGCATTACTGTCCTTATTTGGCTGGGGTTCGCGAAGATCTGAGGTGAATTCCATATAAGTGTCGCCAGATTTAGTACGCTCTGCATTGCTCGCCAATGGCTTACAGTTAAAATAAGCTTTGGTGACTACGCTGGAGCCATGGCCGGTATCCTTAAGTGCGCTATTAAGATTCGAATTCGCATTAGCGCTGTCCGACGAGTCGAACTTGGAAAATGTTTGCGAATACGGCGCACCAATAGAACCATCTTTACCAAAATCCATATCGATGTTGAAGTTGTCTTTAGTGCCCAAGTTCGATTTCCAGTCAAAGTTGGAAATGAAGCTGCTATCCTTGTTCAAATTGGCATTTTTATTGTAACTGCCTTTAGTCAAGGTGCTGTAATTATTTGAATCCTCCTCTTTGCTGATATTTTTTTGCCTATCGTCTTTAGTCAATGCTTTGTCTGAGTCAGAATTTGTGCTTGAGCTACTTGAACTCTTCGAACCCTTGCTCGCTTTGGTTCTTTGCGGCATATCGTCCGTCTTTACGTTCGAATTGCTGCTGTGAAAGCTATTCAGCAGTTGCCTATGCAGATTCTGAAAGCGGGAATTTGCGCGCACCAACTCCTTCAATTGGTCATTGACTTTGGTATTCTTAGCCATGTCGTCGTTGTTGTTTTTGTTTTCGTTGCTTTTGGTGTCGCGTCCCTGCAACGGGTGCATAAAATCGTTCTCCGAATCGAGCGCCTCGCGCTCTAAATTCAAATTTAGGTCGAGTTGGGAATTATGGAGCAGATCATCGATAGACTTGCGTCGCTGTTGCTGCAATTCAGCGTTGCCACTCAGCGCTGGCGATTCTTCGACATCTTGCAAAGCATCAGAGGCTTCATCCAGCGTTTGCTTAAATTGGACGAGCTCATCGCTAACAGCGGTGCGTATGTGTTGAAACTGCGCGGCAATTATTAGTACAAAGAAGAAAATCGCGCAGGAAAATTTCATTTCTTCTTTGAGTTTGAAAAAACATTTGAATTTGTCAATATTTTTTATTTGTTTTCACACTAAAGTCATTTCAGTGTTTTTTAAGTGCTGTAAAACTTTTTGTACTTTTCGATGTCGTTGAAGGTTACCACAGAGAGATAAAACAAAATAAGCTTATAAAATTTAATGAAAGTTAAATAAGTAGCAGATTTATTAATATAAACATAAGGGTGGTTTTAAATTTAGGAATCAAATTTCTCCATTAGCTTTCCTAATCCTCAACCCCTACGTCGATACTACCATAGTCGAAGATGTCACATATAAATTTGTGTCCCGATTGAAGTCGGTTAAGGCTGAACAGGGGACAAAGTTCAGATTACTCTATAAAGTCGTCTGAACTGACTCAAAGTGCGACCAAAATTTATATGTGATGCCTTTGACTATGGTAGTATCGATTTTGGGTTTTAGATGAAAAAAAAATTACTTTTTTTAGTCTCTATAGAGGCATCAGAACTTTGCCCCCTGTGCAACGCTCCTTAACCGTATTCAATCTGGACCAAAATTTATATGTGAAGGCTATGACCGTTGTATAACCGATTGCGGGGTGAGACTCAAAAATATCAAGCACTTTCTGCAATTTAGAAACTTTTACCGAAAGCACCTACTATCCCTTTGAAATTTAAGGAATTCCAAGCGATATTCCACAATATAGCCAAGCGGTTATATAGAGGTTTCAAACCTGCAACTCGACGATATTCCAGATTGAATCTAAACCTTTGCCAAGTAAATTTTGAAAAAATTGATAAAAGGACGAACAGGATCATGGGCGTAGCCAGGTAGGGGCAGGGGGGTGCTCGAGCCCCCCCTAACTTTCAAATTTTCCTTATATATATATAAAATAGTACCCTGAAATTCCAGCTTAATAGGGTCGAGAATTGAGTTGGTAGAGGGTAAATTTGATAATATTGAATAATCTCCAATTAAAATTTACAAATATCGATCCATTTTAATCGGAAGATGAAATTAAATGCGTATTACAATTCGAATGGAGCTACATCACAATTTTGTAATTGGAATAATTTAGATAAATTCTCAAATAATAAGTCAGTTTCACGCTAGTTCTTTTAAAGTAAATTTTTGCATAACTATTTGTATATTTCACAGCATGCTTTCGATAAACATCGACTTCACATCACTGCGGTTGTTCTGGCTATTTCACACAAATAACAAGAAAATGATACCTTATTCTTTTGCATAATCATACAATGAAAATAAAAATTACGTAAACGGATGATCAAACTTGACATTATTTAATAAAAATGTAATTTTTCCAAAATATCGTCAAGAAAAATCGATACATTTTCACACTCGTTTTGCTATATCGTAAACTAAGTCGAAACTACTTAGTAGAAGTCTGAAATGCGACTATGAATAGAAGTAAATTTTAAGTTGGTACTTAAATTTAAGTTGCAACTTTGTTGGTTTCGACTTAGTTGCAGGACTATGAATACGCGCCTATGTTGTTTACGAAAACTGCGAGGTCATGGCGAGTTAACACTAAAAGCTTCTTCAACTGATTTTGTGGGCCCGGAACCACTTAAAAGTCAGTTGGTGTTCTTCGATAGCCACAGTTACTGCCTTGAAAGTGGTAGGTTGTCTTAGAAAATGCAGGCACCTCGGCTATCCTTTTGATAGGAAGCAGACTTCAGAACACTTTCTATGTAAACTATATGACTAGACAAAGATTTGTTAATTCTAAAGCATCTGTAGCAGAACCCTATATACTTTTAAAAATTATTAGGGAGGTCGAAGGTATATTAGGGTTTCTGGGTTGGGCACTTTTGTTAGGAAAGCAAAACATCTCTCAGATCGCTGTGTTTCTTGTTCCTGATAAATCGCCAACGAACTAACAAGAATATTCTTAGAAGAGCGTTCCTAATATTAGAGTTTAATGTGATTACGGATGACAAAAACAACTTTTAAGTTTTGCCAAAAGTTTATTCCAAACACAAACGACATGCAAAAGTTCCCAGCCGCTGGATCTGGAGTGGGGTTTCCAACAATGGCATTGATGGCATCTGTTTCAAGGCAAAAGGGAAACTCTCTGATCTCTCATGCTTCTTCGCTGCATGGGGGCCTTGCGTCTCCCTTACAAAATCAATAGCCACCAACAACTGCTCACCTGGCGGGCAAGCATTTAGGCATACACGTCCCAAGTACACCAATATCAATTATTAATACCCGTGGTTTAAAAATTTTGCGCGACTACCTTCAACACCTTGTTTTTCTTCTCAGCGCACACAATCGCAATAATAACAAATAAATTAAAAATGTGACAAAAACATATAAAAATGTAAACATATATGTAAGTCAATTGGCCGGTTCGCTCTAAATTATGTTGTAATAGTTTCGTCCCCAAGAACTTGAGGGTTACAATGAACAGAGGTACGTGGCTGTCAGAACATCGTACGCCGGACTGTAACGCGATGCCTTCTGATGTCACTTGAGCATATACATAGTATTTCCTGCTCGGCTATTATCGTAGGGAATACCTAAACTGGTATGCCTCCTAGAAGCAGTTCCATAACTGTAGTAGTTAAATTCCCACTTATTTAGATTTATGCGGCTTGAGAAGACACCTAAGATGACCCCAATCACGTTTTGGCTAACCCCCGTAAGCCCAACCACCTAACAATGCATTCCCTTTGGTCCACTCCGTCGAAGCAACGCCTTTCCTGGATGGTTGAGCTCTGCGGTTACTACTGCGAATTAAGGCAGGGTTTGGTAGTATCTCTACAATAACAATCCCTAGTCCTAGTTCATTACTTGCTACCAAAGTCTTTGAGAGTACCTACGTTTTCTAACATTCAATGTTAATGACGATTTTCTCTCCTCGCTTTGGATTCATAAAAACCTGTTAATTTCAAACATTTATTAATACATTTTCGTTCTACACTTTATATAGCATTTATAACTCCGTTTTTCAACTGTTCCAAAACATCTACATACATCTACCACCATGTGGCACTTCTAAATCATAGACAATGAATACTAATGACACCTTTGCCAGATCGCTCTTAAAACACACACACAAAGCCATTGTTGCAACAGGATGCCAACTTCATCCCGAACTCCACCCGACTCCTGCACTAAAAGTTGTTTCGCTGCAGTGCAAGGTGCAGCATTCAACAGGTACGCGCGCGCGCGCGCAACAACTCTTTTTCGGAAACTTCCAAACTAACTTCAAATCAAAGCTACAGATAGTAGAGACCGACGCGGCTGTGACTTTTGCTGTTACTCGCAGTTAAATTCTATTGAATTTGAAAACTTTGAAGACATTTCCGCCAAGCATACGCGCGTGTTTGTGTGTGTGTGTGTGTGTGCGCACCTACGCGCCGCAGTTCTTAACGGCACGGCAACAGTGATAACAAAATAATAACAATAATATTTTTATGCCACACATGATGGTAGAGTCGCTCTATCGAGCGTTTGCATGTATATACTTGTGCCCACAGGCCACCCCTGCTGCTATTTTAAAGTTTTCGAAACTTTTTTCACACTCTCGCTCGCTGTTCGCACACAATCATCCGCGCGCTGCCAACAGGCAACAGCCAACAGCCAACACCAGCACAACTCACTCATGCCGCATCACTTCCGCCACATGTTGACAGTTGTTGTCATTGTCGTCACATAGTGCAACATTTCCTACGCCACATCCGCACATTGCACAAATGCAATAAAAAAAAAGGCAGGCATCAAGGTAGTAGGAAAGTTTGCACCGTTTGAGTACTTACATACATACATATGTATGTGTGAGTGTGTGCGTTTGCGCTAACACTTTGCCGCTTTTTGTTTGGCACCTCTACCTCGGTTTTTGCTGTGTATGTAGCAGTTCCTGTGCCATTGACGTAATCGTTCGGCATTCATTTCCATGCAGTTGTTGTTGGTTTTTTGTTATTGTATGTTCTTTGCAATTCACAGGACCCCTTCGCTGCTCACCATGCTCATCTGCGCAACCACAGCCTGCGATGCGCAGTCAGTCATTCAGCCAACATGTTTTACAATTGTTTCACTATGATTTTTGTTCGCATTGATTTGTATTCATTCGGCTCAACAGCTGCCAGCAGTCGATAGGCTCCACTTCCATATGTCAGCACTGTTGCCACTTCCTCCTTCTCCCTGTTAACGTTTGCCTCGCTATAGCTTTCACAATGAGGGCTCTTTATCTACTGCAACCACATGTCTGTCTGTGTGACTGCTGCTGTTGCAAGTTTAACATTTTCAAACAATACAATTTCCTCTTAAAACTTTGTCGTGTTTCCATTTACACTTACTTGTATATTTATTGTATTAAACAGACTCGGTAAGCGTGGTGGTTAAACAGTCTGCAGGTAGAGCGATTTAATTCGGTTTCAGCTCTTTTCATGATGATACTAGTTCCGCTATGATTTTATGCTTGTTCAAGTTGCTTGCAGAGGTAAGGCGAGTCCATAAGAACCGAACTTAACCGTCGTTTGTCGCGGCAGAATTGAGGAACGCCTGCACACAGTCAAGAGTAGGTAAATAGGAGCACGCAGCCAGGTCGCGATTGTTAACAACCTTATAGAATAACTTGAATAAGGCGGCTGTCCAATGATTGTCAATGTAGATGACGCGGCGCTTATGGTTAGAGGCAGATCTGTGTATACAGGTATCATTTTTGCTCTGAGTCAAGGCTATCTGAACTTCGTAAAGTAATGGACTGCAAACAGCTACCTCTCCATTATTCACTAGGTAGTTCAAGGAATCCGATAGAGCTCTTACTTCACTTGGAGGTGTCCGGTTGCAGATTTCTGACAGGGTCAAGTACTTAGGTCTTGGACTGGAATCTTTCGTAGAAGCCAAACATTACTTCGGGCTAATTTCTTATTAGGCTAATTTAGGGGTCAGACCACAAGGACAATGCAAAGAAAAGTTGAGGCTGGTTGCACCACTGGCCTCCTCTGAAGCACTTTAGACCAGTGATTCCCAAAGTGGTCCAG